CCGGGGGATGGTAGCTGGATTTAGCGTCCACAACGGCTCTCTGGTGAAGGCTCTGGTAGCCTGTCCTGATGGCGGAGCCATCAACGGGTAAATCCGAGAGAGAGGAGGCTTATGTTTAATGGGGTGGTCGCTTCTCGGATTTCCGGGAAGCTTCTGAGTAGTTTGGGAGCAAACATTTCCATTCCTATGTCAATAAACCCTAACTGCAATTAGTACATAGGTGTACTCCGATCTGTTCCAGGATTCACCAACCCTGGCTGTTTCGTCAGGCGAGGGGACTTAAACTTCAAGTTTTTCTCAAGGACGAGCTAAGCTAATAAGCTTGAAATACGCGTATCCTGCAGTACTAACGTTTGCCGGTAATACATTGGTTACCTAATTGCAATGTTTTAAATTTGGTAATTCTTGCTGGCGCATCGCTACAATTTTTGTGTTATTCATTGGTGTACAATCTCTTCCAGGCCTCATATAGTTACCGCGTCCTCAGTGTTCAGTTTTTAGCAAGTCCGCTTTCGGCGCCTCTACTGATGCCATTAGCGAATTGGAATAATTATTTACTAAAAGCTGTCTATAAACCGCCTCAAAAGATGCATGCAATGTATATGAGAGTTGTTAATTGTCGGAATTTCATTACTAATTTCGGTTATGGGTAATGGTTAGTACTCGGCGATTGGTGCTGTTATTGGGTGCAGGCCTACAAAGTTAGTTACCTCTACCACGGGCAACGGACGGTTTGTCAAACTTTGAAGTGGGAATATTATCTCACATGTCACATACATACGTACATACGTACTCATGCTGTATGTGTTCACTCTTCCAAACACCGCGCATAATGGCTGTCAGGGGGCGCAAGTTGATCATCGAATGATCAGGATAATGCAGTCTGTCTGGCTTATTCACTTATAGCCAGTAAATTACCACGTCGACAGTTTTAGTTGGTTTTGTATACTTTTTTGCTCGCGAATGACCGATTATGCGCGGCTGATATAGTCTCTTCGCGCTTATGGCTTCATCTTTATGCTACGTACGTGATCGTGCGTTCTCTGAGATAGGGATTTACGGTCAGGAACGTGCATCACAAAATCATGCTTTGTCATCAACTGACGAAATTAGGACAATAGTGATGATAATTTGTATTGCTTAACTGGACGCCAGGTTAGGACTTAAGGCTTTGTGCTTCTAGGTGTATTTATGTTACGTCCTTGTGGTGCTATGCATGCACTTCCATCTCGGTAAGAGAAACAACATTTGTATAAAAATTACTCGTCATTTCCTTCGAATAACAGAGCCCGACTAACGGGTTCCCGAGACGCAGCCACTAGCCAGTTTAAAGAGGTGAGAATTCAGGATGTTTCTTCATTGCCGGGCCCACGGTGCGTTTTACAGGGTAAAGGGCTAAACTCACTCTCATTCTTGATCCTATTCCCTAGTTTTTCGAACCATTAACCTGCTCAATAAGTTAATTGTTTTTTCTGTTACAGAGTGTTGCTACTGATCAACTGTCGCGCCAGTTGGCTCTGTACGCACAGTCACTTCAGCAGGTCACTGAGCTGCTCAATTTGAATGAACCTGTAAACACCCAACGTGACGCCTTTGTCGCGGAGTATCGTCGGATCGCGGATCAACATCATCGTGAACTATTGTCTAGGCGCTATTTTATTGAAGACAAGAAGGAACAGTTGGAAAAGCTACAAGAGGAACGAGCTAAGGTAACCTGATGCTACTTTTATCGTAGAAAGCTACTTTTAATGCGGCTTTTGCTCTGCCACCTAAAGTGCATTCATCTTTGTTTCTCTCCAGCTCATTGAGCAAGAAGAACAGCGCATTGCCGAAGAGAAGAGGGAACTGTTGAAGCAGGATATTGAGCAGCTGAAGCGCGAAGAGCTTGAACGTGAGCGCCTGAAGAGCGAGGAGGAGAAGACGCGTTTGCGACGCAAGATCGCCCTGGAACGCCTTACTCTTATTATGCGCTCAGACGAGAATGGTCTGAATGCTCTAAAGGATATCACAGATGAGCAACTTGATCAGTTCAATGCAGACTCCATCATGGAGAAGAAGGTATGCTTTCAGTTCGTCCTGCACTCTTCACCGCCTGTGTTCTCTCTGCGTTTGCCACAGCAGGGTGGTTCTTGAATGTTCCTAGTTTTTTTTTGCGCCTGGCAACCCCTTGCAACAGGTTAATCGACAGACCCACTTTCCCAAATCAGTCTCCTTCGACGATGTTCCAGCTACTATCTGTTCTCTTGTAGATTACGGAAGTTGCGAAGAAACGCCGCGATCTCCTGGAAAAGGCCACCGCGCGCGCCAGGAAGGTGGATCACCTGACTCGTGCAATGCGTTTGGAGGAGATACCTCTGTTGCGCGAGGCTGCGATCGCTGAGGAACGTGAGCGTAGAGAACTTTATGAAAAGGCTCAGCAAGAGGCCGAGGATCAATCGCGAAAGGAACATGAGAACCGGCTGAAAAATCGGAGTCGACTGAAGCGCATGGAAGGGGATGTGAAGGTGAGTGACGTTCTATCTATCCATTGTCTATGTATTTCTTACCTGGAGCTAGGGCTACTTTTTATAAGATTTGACTGGAGACTTAAACTGGACTTCGTGTTAGGGTACGCTGTGCAGATGAATCTTTGACCTTATCGAACGGCACTCGTGTGCCATGTAGAAATATTTCTCAGTCTTTGTGGCCTAGTTTCAAGATCCAGCATAGTAACCCATTTAGAAGTCCCGCGTTGTTTTGACTCGAACACCTTTTCATAGCAAAGATCTTATGTAGTGGGCTGATGTGCTCAGGACTAGAATCAAACCAGCGATCTGACCGATAGTGATTTTACTTCCTCTATTGACAAAATGTTTGCTGTGAGCCTCACGCACACTCGGGTTTTATCACGCTTCTGTCTGGCAACTTAACCTCTAGCAGAATGTAAGACAGCTTTTTATAGTCCTTAAATTGATTTATTTACAAGTTAACCTGGACACTAAGCCAAGTTAAGCCTCGTGGGAGGTGTTTTATTATCGGTTTTTGTCGTTTGGCGTAAGTTCCGCATTGTCAGATTCGTTAAACTATCTAGGATTCATGTCGCGATTGACGGTTTTCACCGACATGGATTGCTTTTTCGACCACAGGGGGGCGTAGCTTAATTCTGCTGACCTGTAGGAGTCACCGTCCCGGATTTTTTTGACAGTGTGTGATTGGTGCGTAATCGTGGATGTCCTTATTCTCCGAGTACTGTGCTTAGCTAAATATTGTGATTTAGCGGTCCGGATGATATGTGGGTGACAGTTCTTGGACTGCGCTCCAGTTGGTCATAGTAATGACCAATGTGGATGAGGTTCAGGTATGAAAATTGGCGGTCTCGATTTGATCTGCTTAATAGGTTTCTTTGGGCCCTCTCTATTTGTCGCTTCGACACCCACCCCCACCCTTTTCAACTCGAAGGACGACGATGTATGCCTCTGTTTGCCGTCCATTTAGTTCCTGTTTGCTTCATTTGCAGCCTTTATATAAGGCCCTGAAGGACATGGCCACGAAGAAATACCAAGAGGAACTAGCAGAATGGGAAAAACAGTGCAATCAAGTGCGTGCTGAGCGGCTGGCCGAGCGCCAAGCAAAATTGGAGGCCGAGAAGCGTGCAGCCGAGGA